TGCGCTGCTGCTAGATCGGTCGCGCTTATGCTTGTTCTTTCTTAAAATTTTACTATTGATGACTGAAGGACAAAAATGAAAACAAAAAACAGATTTGCTTGTTACGAATGCAGGCAGTACAAGAAAACAGTCAAATTAGTTTTTGGTGTAATTATTTGTTTTTGCAATTAATGCTTGGCACCAGCAAGCAGTATGTAAAAATTTCATGCATTTAATATCACTTCATAATGCAAATAAGAGAAACATCCCTACTTGTTTGGAAGAATACTGATCTACATATATACAAGGTGAGATGAAAACACTGCAACCAACTTCAGACTGCTGTCATTTCTAAACCGCTCGTCCCACAGCTGTCAGATTTATTCTAGTGACAGCTCATTATATTGTTTACAAGCGCACAAAAGCATTTTGGTGGGAATTTTTCAAAAAAAAAGTTATTTGTGATGGAATTCAAGCGTGATAGTGTGATTGCTTTGCATTTGGCTGGAAAACCACAAGTGGCTATCGTTAGAGCCCTCCAGCATTTAGAAGTGAATAAATGTTTTGTGTCTCGTACCATCGCTCGTTACCATGATACTGGTAGCGTAGCCCGACGTCAAGGAAGTGGACGAAAAAAAACAGCAACATCGGCAGAAATGGTTCGAAAAGTGAAAAAGCGAATTGAACGAAATCCGCGTCGCAGTGGACGAAAAATGGCTCGTGAGCTGAACATATCGCAATATGCCATTCGGCAAATATTGAAAAATGAGCTTGGACTAAAGCCATTCAAGTTCCAAAAAGTGCAAGATCTTACTGATGCGCAAAAAAAAGTTAGACTCGAAAAAGCTAAAGAGTTGTTTCGCTTGGCCGAAAGTGGTGAACTGCCGAATTTGGTTTTCTCCGATGAGAAACCATTCGTTATCCAGCAGTTTGTAAACAAACAAAATGATCGTGTTTACTTGCCAGAGAGGTCAGCTGAAAATTTGCAACTTCGGTTGGCCATCACAACTCAAAAGCCGGCCATGGTGATGGTGTGGGCCGCCATAACAGCCGATGGTCGCTCGCCGCTCGTATTCATCGACCGTGGTGTCAAATTAAATGCGCAAATCTATCGCGAAAATATTTTGGAGGGAGTTCTGAAGCCCTGGGCACGCAAACATTTCGGCCGCAGACCTTGGACATTCCAACAGGACTCAGCACCATCGCACTCAGCACGCGCCATCCAAGAATGGTTAAGAAATGAGGTTCCTCGCTTCATTTCCACCGCACAATGGCCACCAAAATCTCCGGATGCCAATCCGTTGGACTATTGTGCCTGGGGTATTTTGGAAAGCAAGGTTGGCACTAAAAAATACCAAAGTGTCGATCATCTCAAGCAAGCGCTTCGCCGAGAATGGGACAAAATAGCGCAGAGCCACTTTCGGGCAGCGTGTGATGGTTTCATTGGCCGTTTGAAGGCCATAGTTCGTGCCAAAGGTGGCCAATACGAACAAATCTAAACCGATTCTCAAATTTGATGTTATTTCCGACATTTTTTGCTTTCATTCAATAAAATTTAAAAAAAATGAAAAAATTATGGCGTTTTACTTTGTTGCAGTTTTTTCATCTCAAGCCCCCCCCCCCCCCCCGCCGCCCGCGCTTGTATATGTATGTGTATAAATGTATATTTATAAACATATGTACTTTTATTTGGAAGAATATGAATATTTTTTGATCTTATTTTAGGAACATTTGAAGCAAATGCAACCAATTTCAATTTTTTGTTTTAATCAGGTATAATAACAGTTATATGAATGTTATATTAGTATTAGCTAAAATAAGATAATTGTATGTAATTGACCGTGTGTGAGTTCGAGTAATTGAAAGTAAATTGAGGAAAATAGTAAATTATGTCCGTATGGCAGTGAATGTTGGTATTTACCAGAATTTCGAGTGTGGTAAATTAGGTAAATTAGGTATTACCATTGGTAACTTTTTATAAGATATATAATAAAGAAATAAATAATTTTGAAAACTTTTAACATAAGTGCAGTGCAAAAAAACCCTAGGAAATTTTAGTTTACTTTACCATAATTTACCGAGTTGGTTTATTGGGACCTGCAGACTTCATCGAATTGAATTGCTGGGCTTTATTCTGCTTATATTACTTCGTAAGCAATTCCTTTGTATGGTAGAGAAAGTGAAATCGACTAAGGCATAAATTGTTATATGACCTTATATTACAAATTTGCCCTAATACAGGCTTAATAACATCTATTTATAATTTATTTATTACCATAACTACTTACTTTATTTATTTATTTTGTTCAAAATACATAGTTTAAGTGAATTAATTTTAAGATAGTTATTAATAAACATGTGTTAATAAATATGTATAAATATGTAAATATTAATATTTATTACGTAGAAACTTTCGCTATTTTTTATGGTTATTCACGGGATATTGATCAATTAATTAACAAAGCAGTTTATACATATAAACAATAAAAAATAATGTATCATATATATATCTAATAACGGGAAGAACTAACAAATGTGTTCTCTTTTTGGTGGTGGTATTCCTCTATTCCTGAGCGTTGTTTGTTGTCGTTTTGTCATTGGGCCTTGTTGTGGTAGGATTTTAGGCAGGTTTAGGAGTATTTTCGGAAAATCTTCTGCAGGTTGTTTTCTTTCTTCTTTGTTACCATTCTATTTTCCAATTATTTATGTGTGATAATATATTTTTTTATCATTTATATGCAAAAAAACTTTTTGTCGATAATACTAATGTATGTATATTAATATAAAAAACTAAAATTCTTCAAATTCTTGAGGACGAAATAGAGAACAAATAATAAAAAAAAAATTTGAAATAGTAAAAAAAATCTCTTTTCTATATTATTTTTCTTAAACAAAATTTCTTCGTTAACATGGACTAGGCCTCCTGGGCACACAATGTAAAAAAAACGCGCGATGCATTATACCTTAATGGTGGTCTGGAAATTAGTACGCAACTAGTAACATGAAAATTGTCACTTCTATTTAATTAACGATAACCTTTCATGTATGTCGATCTAGTAACTATAAATGATTATGCAGTTATTTAAATAAATCCCCATTTCTCGGCAATTATTCGCTTGCAAAAGCTAATAGTCGATACACTTGTACCCCTTGTACTGATGTTTCGTTTATATTTATTCAGTATCTTTTAAGTGCATATATATGTAAAATAGCGTTAATTATTCAAACTGCCATATAAACTGAAGGTTTAATCTTAAATCGATTTCTATATAATTTTATTGTAATACATTTGGCAAAGCTAAATCATACAATTTTTAAAAAATGTTTTACGAATTATTGGTAATAATTTTATATACATGTGTTCTTATGATTGTATTACTTCCTAAGATTTAATATAAATATTATGTAAATGCGATAAAATTGAAAATCCATACTTAATAACAATTAATTACGAAAACAATTATAACTCTTTCTTCAAATGCCATCATAATGAAAAATTGTTTCAATGCTGCAAATAAAATTTTGATATCTCTTGCCCCCGAAATTACATACAAAAATATCAATGTCCATATGTTCATATTTAAACACAAAGCAAGTAGGCATGAATGAATATAAAATAGAGAATAATTCTTTTTACTACTTACATTATAATTTAAGAAAGCAATAACAACACCTCAAAGAGCAAAAGGAGAAAAAAACACAAAAAAGAAATATAAAAATTTCTTGAACCTATGAAGCAGAGAATATTGCAAAATCTTCTTTGGTATGAAGCAAAAACGACTGAAGCGACGTCGGCAGAGATTTGAGTGATTTGGGTACCCAATGGTAGATACCTAGAACAAAAATTAATTTCTATGGC